CCCCAAACTCTCTTCTTCGGAAAGAACAATGCACCAGACAAAAGGCCATTTTGTCTTAAAAAAAAAAAAGAAGAAGAAGAATGTTACATCCAAAATATGCTTTCTGAATTCCTACTGTGTGCCTGACTCAGGCCTAGGAACTGGAATACAAAGATGCAGTCTTTGCCCTTGAGGATGGCAATATAATGGAGACAGAGACAAGTAACATAAGCAGTACACTGCGATGAGCTACAGCAGAAAAAGCTCTTAATTCAGATGCGTTTCTTTGTGAGGTAATTCATATTTATTCAACTTGTACCCTACTCAAATACCAAATTAAATTATTTCACTATTTCCAAGAACTTTCGAAGGGATAAAAAGGGTTCATTCCAACCATTACTAATACTTATTCGTGCCACAGACTGGGAGCTCCCTGAGGGCAGGGATGGCTCTAACCTACCCTCATGTTCTCTGTGGCAGACAGACAAGTGCCGCACGAGGGACGCAGCAACCACAGAGGGATGCGGGGCTCAGAGGCAGGGTTGGGGCCGGGGCTGTCTCGAGCGCGCTCGGGACGTACAGGAAGGGACCAGATACGATGCTCCAAGAGAGCACCCGGCACTCAGTCAGGAGTTGGGCGCAAGTTCGGGCCAAGGCCTTGAAGCTCCCCAGCTACCGGCTAATCACTCAAAGGGACTGCTTAAGTGAGCGCCTTTGTGCCCCCAACCCCGGGTTTCTTCATCTTCAGTTCCTGGGCCTGGGCTCCAGGCTCTCGGTTCCTCCACACGTCGCCCGGCCCGGTGCAGCGAACAGTTTTTCCTCAACCATTCCAGGTTTTCTGAGCCGTTCGGCTAGCCGCAGAAAAGTGAAGAAAGAGCCGCCCTTCCAGCCCAGGCTAGCTCCAGCCAGTCCACTCTAGCCCTGGCCGCCCCGCCACTCACCAGGTTGGGCAGTCGAACAGCGGGAGGCTGGAGCCAGAGTTCGCGGCTGCCGCCATCTTGCGTCTCCCCCTCCCATTTGGCGGTCCCGAAGCACGCCGGGAAACTGGAAGACCGAGCGGGGTGGGGTAGTGGGGGAAGCAGCATCCCAGCAGCCTGTGCGTACACGTGCTCACGCACGCACGGACGTAGCGGGGAGGTGCTTCTGGTGGGGACAGAATAAATTTTGGGATTTCTTTCTTTATTTTTTTTTTTCTCCAGCGTTTGAGGGAGTTGGACGTGTCTGGAAGTCTCCAGTGGTTAGAGTTTTCCTTGGCCAGGAGGTGTCAAAGGAGAAGAGGCTTTGTAGGGAGGGGAGGCAGACTCCCACTACGTCCTCCTGCAAATGCTTCTGGGCTCTAAAATCTTGGAACTAAGCCCGGCGCGATGGCTTACGCCTATAACCAGCTCGTTGGGAGGCTGAGGCTGGCGGATCGCTTGAGATCAGGAGTTTGAGACCAGCCTGGACAACATGGAGAAACCCCATCTCTACTAAAAATACAAAAATTAGTCGGGCGTGGTGGCGGGTGCCTGTAATCTCAGTTACTCGGGAGCCTGAAGCAGGAGAATCGCTTGAACCCAGGAGGAGCAGGTTGCAGTGAGCCAAGATCGCGCCATTACACTCCAGCCTGGGCAACACAGGCTGAGACTCCGTCTCAAAAAAAAAAAAAAAAAAAAAAAATCTGGGGACTACATTCTCTTCCAGCGTTCAGGTTAAGACCTTCAGCCTTGGCCGGGCGCGGTGACTCACGCCTGTAATCCCAACACTTTGGGAGGCCGAGGCGGGCGGATCACCTGTCAGGAGTTCAAGACCAGCCTGACCAACATAGTGAAACCCCGTCTTTGTAAAAAATAAAAAAAATAAATAAATAAAATAAAAAAGTATTTATGAAAAAAAAAAAAAAAGACCTTCAGCCTTTTGCCCTCAAAGCAGAGAAGCTAAAGGGCAAAACTTGGAGATTGGAGTGATTACTTATTGTTTCTCCTCATCTAACCCTTCTCCAAAAAGTGGCACCCTACTCACTTTTTCTAATCCACGTCTAGGCCTGTTAATATCCTCCTTTTCAGCCTTGTGATTCCAAAGTAAGCTAGGCTGATTGGAAAAATTTAAATCTAAACTTGGTTTCAAGAAAACAGAAATAATCCTATGTCCTCCTCCTTTGAACACAAGGACATGATTTTTGAGAAGGAATTAGTCCCAAAAGTTTTTGAGTCTAATAGAAAAGAAGATATTTTTATCTACACAAGTTATGTGGGCCTTTGAGGTTCTATGCTCCTTTCAGGCGTAACGTGGCGTTGAAGCCATATCTAGCTAGCAGTGACCTGATAGCATCTTAGGTCAATGTTGTCTTTCAATTTCTCAGCTTGTGTGATCCTTCTAGTGCTGACTATAGACCCAAGAAACCTAAAAGCTACATCTTACCCTTCTAATTCTTTGCTCCTTGGCCATGTTCTGTTTCTAGCACAGCAGATATTCACACTGGCCTCTGATGTAGTGGCACTGTATGCTTACTTACACCCTCATAAAGCAAAATGCTCTTTGTTTGGTCACCAATGATGTCAGTATATACCAGCAAACTAGAGGGCAGCAATCTAGGCCCTTAACCTTTTAAAATAAAGACTGATGCACTAGCTACCTTTGAATTTTTGTATCTCAATAAAGAGACTACCATCTTAGCCTTTGATAGATTTCCTTAGAATAAGATCTAAAGACATTTGGGGCATATTGACATCAGAAAGCTTTTTTTTTAATTTTTAAATTATTTTTTGAGACAGAATCTCACTGTCACCTAGGCTGGAGTGCAGTGGTACAATTTCAGCTCACTGCAAGCTACACCTCCTGGGTTCAAGTGATTCTCCTGCCTCACCTTCCCGAGTAGCTGGGATTACAGACATGTGCCACCACATACATAGGGTTGCACCACATTGGTGAGGCTGGTTTCAAACTCCCAACTTCAGGTGATCGACCTGCCTCAGCTTCCCAAAGTGCTGGGATTATAGCTATGAGCCACCTCACCCTGCCAGAAAACTTTTTTTAAAAGTTTTTTTTGAGATGGAATCTTGCTCTTGTCTCCCAGGCTGGAATGCAATGGTGTGATCTCTGCCTCCCGAGTTCAAGCGATTCTCCTGCCTCAGCCTCCCGAGTTGCTGGGATTACAGGCGCACACCACCACACCTGGCCAATTTTTGTATTTTTATTTATTATTTTACTTCTTTTTGAGATGGAGCTTCACTCTTGTTGCCCAGGCTGGAGTGCAATGGCACGATCTCGGCTCACTGCAACCTCCACCTCTCAGGTTTAAGCGATTCTCCTGCCCCAGCCTCCTGAGTAGCTGGGATTACAGGTGCCCGCTACCATGCCCAGCTAATTTTTGTATTTTTAGTAGAGATGGGGGTCTCACCACGTTGGCCATGGTGGTCTCAAACTCCTGACCTCAGGTGTTAGCAGAGACAGGGTTTCACCATGTTGGCCAAGCTGGTCTTGGACTCATGAACTCAGGTGATCCACCCACCTTGGTCTCCCAAAGTGCTGGGATTATAGGCATGAATCACCGTACCCAGCCCTAACTATGCTTTGAAAAGCAAGGAAGCAGCAGGTGATTCCCAGCTTTAGGGAACAGGATGGACTGAGATTTGAGTTTGGCTCTGTTCTGCAATTAGTGACCAAAAGCAAAAGCTGCATTCCCATGACTGAGGACAGTCTCTGAATAGAAAAAAATACTGAATGGAAGAAGCTCAGAATGTTTTGCATTGCACAGACTAAACAATAATTTTATTTTGATATTTTGCATTGCCATGGGTGAACATTCCCATCCCTACCCCTCAGCAAAATGAACAAATACACATACACACACAGAGACATACACTCCCATGGGAGCATCTGTCTAGCATCTAGCAGGTTCTTATTCTGGAACATTCCTAGATGATGTAGCCAGAGTAACATTTCTACTTTACCTTATACAGTACCACAGTTTATTGCATAAAGGAAGTAGAAAAGGGGATGAGAAAATGAAAGGAATATAGAGGCAGAAATACAATTTGTATGTTCACATTAAACTCCCGTGGGTCCTTATAATCAGAGAATTTTGTAGCTGGAAAAGAGCTACTGAAAAAACTTGGGGCCAATAAGTTAAGTGACTTTTTCAAATACCCTCAGCAAGTTAATGGCAGAGCTAAGGTCTTTTGCACCCCAGTCTAGATTTTGACGTCCAAACCAATGCTTCTCAACCACAGTCGCAGGTAAGAATTACCTGGGGCCTTTAAAAATCTCTATGCCCAAGCTGTACTCCAGACTAAATTAAAATCTTGGAGTTGGGGGAGCTAGATATTGGTATTTTTATTTTTTAGCAAGAAGAGCAGCATAGAGAATATATATTTTTTAAAATACAGAGCACTTTGGCCAGTCACAGTGGCTTATGCCTATAATCCCAGCACTTTGGGAGGCCAAGGTGGGTGGATCACCTGAGGGCAGGAGTTCCAGACCAGCCTTGCCAACATGGTAAAACCCGGTCTCTACTAAAAATACAAAAAAAAAAATCAGCTGGGTGTGCTGGCGAGCACCTGTAATTCAGCTACTTGGGAGCCTGAAATCGCTTGAACCCAAGAGGTGAAGGTTGCAGTGAGCTGAGACTGCGCCACTGCACTCCAGCCTGGGCAACATGTGAGACCCTGTCTAAAAAAAAAAAAAAAAAAAAAAAAGGCTGGACGCGGTGGCTCAAGCCTGTAATCCCAGCGCTTTGGGAGGCCGAGGCGGGTGGATCACAAGGTCAACAAATCAAGACCATCCTGGTCAACATGGTGAAACCCCGTCTCTACTAAAAATTACAAAAAATTAGCTGGGCACGGTCGCGCGTGCCTGTAATCCCAGCTACTCAGGAGGCTGAGGCAGGAGAATTGTCTGAACCCAGGGGCGGAGGTTGCGGTGAGCCGAGATCGCGCCATTGCACTCCAGCCTGGGTAACAAGAGCGAAACTCCGTCTCAAAAAAAAAAAAAAAAAAAAAAAAAAAAAAAATATATATATATATATATATATATATATATTTAGAGAGAGAGAGAGAGAGAGAGAATTTGCATGTCATCCTGGTGCAGGGGCCATGCTAATCTTCTCTGTATTTTTCCCATTTTATATATGTGCCCCCAAAGTCAACTTTGTCTTTCAATTTCTCAGCTTGTGTGATCCTTCTAGTGCTGACTATAGACCCAAGAAACCTAAAAGCTACATCTTACCCTTCTAATTCTTTGCTCCTTGGCCACGTTCTGTTTCTAGCACAGCAGATATTCACACTGGCCTCTGATGTAGTGGCACTGTATGCTTACTTACACCCTCATAAAGCAAAATGCTTTATGGACAGTGTATGTTTTTAGTTTCTAATGTGAAGTCATGTTAACTGCTGTCCTAGATCATGATGGACAATGATAATCAAGGCACAGATAAGAATTCTGTGAATAGGTTTATTAGGACCACCTAGGAGAAGAACCTCTTTGGCAACTACTACAAATTCTAGGCCATTTAAAATCTAAGCCAAGTTCATATTTGCTCTCCATGATCACCATTATAACCACCACTGGGTCATACAGTATTACAGAACATGGTCACTTTCTTTAACCCAAATGCAAACTGTTTTTCTTTCTTTCTTTTTTCTCTTTTTCTTTTTTTTAATTTTGCTTTGCAAGTTAAACTCCTGAGCCAGGTAGCAAACTTTTTTTCACAAACAAGACGTTTTTCTTTCCTGGAATGTTACAAATGATGTATCCAAGTCCAAGTGTAATTTGGAGTTAAAAGGTCAGTGATCATAGAACCAAGGAACTATCTCTGACACTGCTCCTTAGGCCACTGTGCCACTCCAACAGCTCTATCTTGTTCTTTTTTTAAATTAAAAAAATCATTACAAAAAAATAGAGAGGCTGGGCACAGTGGCCCACGCCTACAATCCCAGCACTTTGGGAGGCTGAGGCGGGTGGTTCACGAGGTCAAGAGATTGAGACCATCGTGGTCAACAAGATGAAACCCCATCTCTACTAAAAATACAAAAATTAGCTGGGCATGGTGGTGCGCACCTGTAGTCCCAGCTACTCAGGAGGCTGAGGCAGGAGAATTGCCTGAACCCAGGAGGCAAAGGTTGCGGTGAGCCGAGAACGCGCCATTGCTCTCCAGCCTGGGTAACAAGAGCGAAACTCCGTCTCAAAAAAAAGAAAATAAAAGAAACTTATGCATTTGGGCCCTTGTTTCCCTACTGTTCACATTAGTTTAGTTTAGAAGATTAAGTATAATAACAGAAGGACAATAGGAGGAATGAATATAAATATTCATTTATAGGGTAACCAAATCCTCTAATTCACTAAAGGATGAACCAACGTTGTTGGCCAGATTCACATTTATCTGGGAGCCTAAACAAATTGTTCCCTTTAAGTATTCTAGGCCTGTGAAAAAGGGAAGTGGACAACATTTATATTACAAGACAGCAATTTTATTGAAACATCTTTTTTTGCCTAAAACTACGCATGGAGAGATTAAACTCTTGTTTATAAATTAGGTTGTCTAATATCATATTCAAAACCAGTATTATTTACAAAAATGAACCTGTTCTTTGCTTTATTGTTGGTTCACAGGAGTAAATTTTAAACCAACCTCAATCTATCTTTAAAAATCTTCCTGTCTTCAAATGCCCAACAACCCTTATAAGGTAGGGGTCAGCACTTCGACAGCAACATTCATCATTCACCAGGAATGTAGAACCACAAGTGAACAACAACGAAAAGATTAAATCATTCCCAACAATTCCTATTTGCTTTTCAAAAGCATGCTATGTCTAATTCTCCCTTTCTATGCAGACAGGTGGGAGAGGGACCCCATAGAGTATAGTAATGTTAATTAAATTAACTTCTTTAAAAAGCTAACAAGATGGCTTAGTGTGGATGAAGATGAACTGCTGTGGATGACACTAGCAGATAAAGAAGTAAACTTTAAACCAGATTAGTAACATGTACTCCAGTAACTGACCAGCTCAGACAGAGACTTCTCATTTACTCTGGATCACATGTACTATTTTTTACCTTTCAATTAAATATAGTACCAAAATCTTTCAAAGTAGAGAATAGGCTTCTTAGAAATTCAAATGAAAATGTTAAATAATAAAAACTGCTGGCCTATTATACAGTTTCTGAAAGACTCCAATATACTGGGTGCCAGAAAGTAATTCTATCTCAGTTGCTAGTAAAAAGATAAATTTTGTATATACATAAAAGACAATATTACAAGACTGTAGTGTCATTTGTCAAAACAAGAGTATCTAGAATGGAATTTTCAGTAAGCACTTGGGATGATGAAGGGCAATCAGAATACAAGAGAAAGCAAAATCCACGTAAGTTAATTCCTAATTTGAGAAATAAAATCAATAAATTGATAAACACTGTCTCCATAGGTCACTAATTCCAAAGACTAGTTAGTAGTTAGTTTCTAACTAAATTATTACAGGATGACAGTATGCTGTCTTCTTGTGATCAGTTTGTTCTGGCAAGACTCCAACTTGCCGGTGAAAACAGCTCAGTGAGAGAAGGATCGGAGGCAATCACTTCGTTTTGTAAACTAGCCAGATAATGAGTCCCAAGATTAAAACAATCACTGACAGGACAAGCACCAGGATACACATCTTCTTGCGAGATTTTTTCTGAGGAAAGAAATATGTAAACAAAACATTCATGAAACAAGTAAAATTGTTATGTCTAAGACTCCAAGAATGCTTCATAAATCTGCCTCCTTGTAATTAAAGATTAACTCTATCAATGCAAAGTTATGTAGAGACTTTCCCAGAAATTTTAACAGTCAGCAGCACTAGGCAGTAGTGCAAGTGTTTTTCATATGTTTGGCTTTTTTTTTTTTTTTTTTTTGAGATAGAGTCTCACTTAGTCACCCAGGTTGGGGTGCTGTGGTACAATCTCGGCTCACTGAAATCTGTCTCTCAAGTTAAGTGATTCTCATGTCTCAGCTTCCTGAGGAGCTGGAATTACAGGCATATGCCACCATGCACGGCTAGTTTTTGTATTTTTAGTAGAGATGGGGTTTCGCCAATGTTGACCAGGATGGTCTCGATCTCTTGACCTTGTAATCCAGCCACCTCGGCCTCCCAAAGTGCTGGGATTATAGGCGTGAACCACCATGCCCAGTTGAGTAGTGCAGGTTTTAAAGTTTTAATTCCAAGTCCCCACATTTTGCAAAGGAGCTATACCTGTGCTGCCAGGCATTATGTGCAGTAAGTTATTTGTGCATCTGTATTTTAATAACATTTTATAATATGTATAAACTGTTATGTTCATTGTAAAAAAAAAAAAAATACGCCGAGCGCAGTGGCTCACGCCTGTAATCCTAGCACTTTGGGAGGCTAAGGCAGGTGGATCACCTGAGGTCAGAAGTTCAAGACCAGCCTGACCAATATGGTGAAACACCATCTTTAAAAAAATAAAAATAAAAATAAAATAAATACAGCAAGCAGAGGGAGAAAAAAAAAATCACCCATAGATAAAACTGTCGACATTTTGATTGTATTTCTTTCTGATTTGTTATCTATGTGTATTATTTGACATAATTGGGGTCACACTGTATGATGTTTGATGTGTTTCCTCAATTAATGTTTAGTATAAACATTTTTCTATTATAAACTCTTCATAAACATCTCTTAATTCTCATATACAACATTGCGTGAATGTATATAATTTACTTAATTATTCCTTTACTTTTGGACACTAAATTCATCACATGGTTTTTTTTTTTTTTTGAGACGGAGTTTCGCTGTTGTTACCCAAACTGGAGTGCAATGGCACGATCTCGGCTCACCACAACCTCCGCCTCCTGGGTTCAAGCAATTCTCCTGCCTCAGCCACAGCGCCCGGCCCCATCACATGGTTTTTAAAGGAAACACTATTGTTAAATACAAATTTCTTTACGAGCACTCTCAAGTAAAATACAGCTATCCCAGGAACATGGAAAATAGCTGAAAAGCGATTTATTTCTAAAAAGCCATGCAACAACAAATTGAAGGGAGATGAGAAGGACTCCATTTACATTATTTGTAGGCTGAGATAAAGATCTGGGTAAGTCAAAAAACCAGAGTTTCAACTAATACAAAGAAGGAGTTCACATCACAGGAACAGTTCCAGAATAATTACTCCTATTTATTCATATATAAATAGCAGTCAAAGTTGCTATGTCCATCCTCTATGGCAACAGTCAACATAAATATCTATGAAGTCTTCTACTTTAACTTCTTACTATCCTAAGTGAAACACATTCAGCTGTTCAGGACATAAAATAGCCTTATGCCATATTTAGGTATCATGCTAGTTTATTTTTAAAAAATTTTTTGAGATGGAGTCTTGCTCTGTTGCCCAGGCTGCAGTGCAATGGCGGGATCTTGGCTTGCTGCAACAACCTCCGCCTCCTGGGTTCAAGAATGTGCGCCACCACGCCCAGCCAATTTTTTGTATTTTTAGTAGAGATGGGGTTTCGCCATGTTGGTCAGGGTGGTCTTGAACTCCTGACCTCATAATTCGCCCACCTTGGCCTCCCAAAGTGCTGGGATTATAGGCGTTGGCCACCACACCCAGCCTCATGCTAGTTTATAGGGTTAGCTTTGCAGTTAAGAGGCTTCTGGTAGGTTTATTCAGGGTTTGATTATTTTTTGTAGATCTATCTGCAAAGAAAAATACTAAAAATGGAACTGGGACTGCAATTATGACTACTTTCCTTTAGGTAAATATAAGCAAAAGCCTGTAGCTGTTCTCAATAATGTCAACGTACTCTGATAACCTAAAAAGTCTAAAACACAGAATGATTTTCTTTGGTATCCACTTTTACCTGATAATAAGCAGCTCGCTGTAACTGTTCAGTGGCTCTTTCAACATGTACCTCTGAGCTTTCCACATTGGCTTCTATGCTATCTGCAAAAGGAAGGACAGAGGATGTTTTAACACATTCAGATGTTTCAAGACTGCAAATTGAACAGATTTCTGATGTTATGGGTCTAGTTTCACTACCACCATCCAAACTATCCACCATGAAATCAAGTTACTACCTTGATAAGAGACTAGCCCTATTCGTTGGGAAAAAAACATCAAATTTTTGGGGGCTAGGAATTATTTAACTCACCCATAAATGATTCAGAAAAAATTATGTATATACTCATAGACAGAGAAAGAATACATAATAAAGCAAATGGGATAGAATGTTAACAGGAGGTAAATCTGGGTAAAGGGTATAAAGAAGGTCCTTGTAATATTTTTATTTTTGCTACTTTTTTTTTTTTTTTAAGAGCTAGGATCTCACTCTATCACCTAGGCTACAGTGTAGTGGCACAATCATAGCTCACTATATAGCTTCAAACTCGTGGACTCAAGTGATCTTCCCACCTCAGCCTTCTGAGTAGCTAGGAGTACAGGTGAATGTTACTATGGCTGGCTAATTTTTTTGTAAAGACAGGGTCTCACGATATTGCCCAGGCTAGTCTTGAACTCCTGGCTTCAAGTGATCCTCCTGCCTTAGCCTCCCAAAGCGCTGGGATTATAGGTGTGAGTGACCATGCCCAGCCTATTTTTGCAACTTTTAATAAATTTGAAATTATTTCCATGTAGAAAGCTTTTTAAAAAGCTTTAAAAATAGAGTTACCCCATAATTTTGCAAGTTTGTAGAGATAAAAGCTGGGAAGCTGACAGCTATTTCTCTAAACAAAGACTTACAAAGAAACAAGTCAATGGGACTGAATATTCCCAAAACCTCACTTTAATTTCTACATTTGATAACATAAGGAAATTGCCAAGAAAAATAAATTTGGTAATTTTTAAAGTGGCATTCCTAAACTCACTTTAATTCTATAGCTGATATGACTAACTCCTTTTCTTACTTTTTTTTAATAGACAGATTCTCATTATGTTGCCCACGTTGGCCTCAAACTCCTAGGTGATGCTTGAGCCTCAGCCTCCTGCGTAGCTGGGATTGCACGTGCATGCCAAATACTATCAACTCACCTTGAGGTTAAAGCTTTCAATAATACATACCAATCAGATCACCTTGGTCATGGATCATCATGGCCAAATCTTTAAATATCTGATTGACATCCAAAATGTCAGCCTAAGGAAGACAAAAAAACAATTAACATTAAGTAACATGTTAGAAGATTTGTTTCCTTCACGTACCTAAAGTTTAGCTATTAACACATGTGTTTTTAAGGCTATATAAAGCAAGCTTTCTCCATAAACAGAAAATAATCTATTGCTGCCTACCCAGTATTGTAAAACTGAGGCACATAACCTTACCCTTTAAGCAACTTTAACTGGACATGCTACATGGGAACCAGTAAGATTCCCCAAGTCAAACAGTACAGCAGAAGGCTAGAGTACTGATATAGACAAATTCCTGGTGTCATAGCCCTATGTGGAGGCTGCTAGGCCTTTTGTGACAAAGGCCAGTGAGTACCTCTCTACGACAACCACTGGGACTGTGTACTGCAGAATTTAAATGTTTACACAGGATCATGCTATCTGAGGAATGCAAGGAGGAGCGACAAGTAAGGAGCCTCTTTTCCCCTGGGATTGACTCTGGAACTATGTGAGGAATTGCTGGATTCTATCATCACTGGACAATGCCCTATAGGAACTCCCAACTGATGGACAAAATCTGATGGTTTGTGGATAGGAGTTCCAAGGAGAATGGACTACATCCTGTTTGCTGCTCTGATCAAAGAAGGTAAAAATAAATCAGCTTGGTGGGCTGAACTGCAGCTTGTTTTCCTAACAGCAGTGGAAGAACTGAACATTGGCAAAATCCCCTATATTTGGGTCTTTCCCTCCCTCCCTCCCTCCCTCCCTTCCCTCTCCTCTCTCTCTTTCTTTCCTTCCTTTCCCTCCCTCCCTCTTTCTCTCTCTCTCTTTTTTTTTTTTTGAGAGTCTCGCTCTGTTGCCCAGGCTGGAGTGCAGTAGCACAATCTCATCTCACTGCAACCTCTGCCTCCTGGATTCAAACAATTCACCTGCCTCAGCCTCCTGAACAGCTGGGATTACAGGAATGTGCCACCACACCAGCTAATTTTTGTAATTTTAGTAGAGACAGGGTTTCACCATGTTGGCCAGGATGGTCTCGATCTCCTGACCTCTTGATTTACCCACCTCGGCCTCCTAAAGTGTTAGGATTATAGGAGTGAGCCACTGCACCTGGCCACCCAGCTAATTTTTGTATCTGTAGTACAGATGGGGTTTCACCATGTTGGCCAGGCTGGTCTCGAACTCCTGACCTTGTGATCCACCCGCCTGGGCCGCCCAAAGTGCTAGGATTATAGGTGTGGGCCACCGTGCCTGGCCTCTTTCTCTCACCCTTTTTCTTTCTTTTCCTTTCCCCTTCTTTCCCTCCCTCCCTTCCTCTCTCTTTTCTTTCCCTCCCTTCCTTGTTTCTTTCTCTTTCATTTCCCTCCTTTCCTTTTTTTTTTTTTTGAACTGTAGATTTCATTATGGAATCTTTTTTTAACTTAATTTGTATATAGGTCTCTTGATGTTTTGGGAATTTTGTTCTAAGACATGTTGAAGCTGTGCGGTAGTTATTGGGTTTATAAGTTGTTGGGGTATTTTTTTTTTTTTTGAAAGAAAAAAGAGAAAGAAAGGGGTAGAGAGAACAAGAGTCTTGTTCGATTGCTCAGGCGGGAATGCAATCTAAAAATAGGTATTAAAAACCTCTTTTATGCCGATAATTGTACTTAACAGCGGAGACAGGAAGGAATAAGGGAAGAAAATAACAAACAAACAGCCAACCAATATTTCATTTAAGACTGTGAAATGCTATGCAAATGCTGAAGAATGATTTACTTCCAACTATGTGGTCACTTTCAAAATAGGTGTAATGTGTGATACTGAGAAAAATGTATGTTCTGTGGACCTGGGGTGAAGAATTCTATAAAGATTCACTGAATTACTTGTTCCAGGTCTGAGATCAAATCATAAATGTCCCTGTTAATTTTCTAACTCGTTGATCCGTTGAAATTAACAATGTGGTGTCAAAGTCTCCCACTATTACTGTGCGGGAGGTCCGAGTCTCTTTGTAAGTCATTGAGAACTTGTCTTATATATCTGGGTGTTCCTATATTGGGTGCATATATATTTATGATCATTGACTCCTATTGCTGTATTGATCCTTTTACCATTATATAATGTCCTTGTTTCTTTCAGTCTTTGTTACGATTAAAGTCTATTTTGTCAGAGACAAAGTTACAACTCCTGTGTTTTTTTTTTTTTTCTTTCCATTTGATTGATGAGTCTTCCACCAACGCTTTGTTTTGAGTCTTTGTGTGTCCTTGCTTATGAGATGGATCTGGATACAGCATACGGATGGGTTTTGACTTTTTTTTTTTTTTTTTTTTGAGACGGAGTTTCACTCTTGTTACCCAGGCTGGAGTGCAATGGCATGATCTCGGCTCACCGCAACCTCCGCCTCCTGGGTTCAGGCAATTCTCCTGCCTCAGCCTCCTGAGTAGCTGGGATTACAGGCACGTGCCACTGTGCCCAGCTAATTTTTTGTATTTTTAGTAGAGACGGGATTTCACCATGTTGACCAGGATGGTCTCGATCTCTTGACCTCGTGATCCACCCGCCTCGGCCTCCCAAAGTGCTGGGATTACAGGCGTGAGCCACCGCGCCTGGCCGGGTTTTGACTTTTTATTCAATTTTCCTTTCTGTGTCTTTGATTGGGACATTTAATCCATTTAAATTTAGGATTAATATTGATATTTGTGAGTTTAATATTGTCGTTTAATGCTAGCTGGCTATTTTGCCCATTAGTTGATATAGATTCTTCATTATGGAGATACTCTTTGATAAGTTTTTGGGATGACTGATACTGGTTGTTCCTTTCTGTGTATAGCGCTTCTTTCAGAAGCTCTTGTAAAGCAGGCCTGGTGGTGATGAAATCTGAATGCTTGCTTGTTCATGAAAAATTTTATTTTCCTTCATTTATGAAGCTTAGTTTGGCTGGATATGAGATTCTGCATTGAAAATTTTTTTCTTTGAGGATATTGAATATTGACCCCCACTCTCTTCTAGTTTGTAGGGTTTCTGCTGAGAGATCTGCTGTGAGTCCGATAGGCTTCCCTTTATGGGTAACCTGACCCTTCTCTCTAGCTGCCCTTAGAATTTTCTCCTTTATTTCAACCCTGGTGAATCTAACGATTATGTGTCTTGGGGTTGCTCTACTTGAGGAATATCTTTGTGGTGTTCTCTGTATTACCTGGAGTTGAATATTGTCCTGCCTTACTAGGTTAGGAAAGTTTTCCTGAATAATATCCCGAAGAATATTTTCCAGCTTGGATTCATTCTCTTCATGACATTCAGGTACACCTATTAAACGTAAATTAGGTCTTTTCACATAGTCCCATATTTCTTGGAGACTTAGCTCATTCCTTTTTACTCTTTCTTCTCTAATCTTGTCTTCTCGTTTCATTTCATTAAGTTGGTCTTTGATCTCTGATATCCTTTCTTCTGTTTGATCAATTTGACTGTTAAAACCTGTGCATACTTTGTGGAGTTCTCATATTGTATTCTTCAGTTCCATTAATTCACTTATATTCCTCTCTAAATTACCTATTCTCATTAGGATTTCGTCAAACCTTTTTTCAAAGTTCTTAGTTTCTTTGCATTGGGTTAGAATATGTTCTTTTAACTCACAGAAGTTTCCTATCATCCACCTTCTGAAGCCTAATTCTGTTAACGGAACACACTCGTTCTGCATCAGGCCTTGTTCCGTTGTTGATGAGGAACTGTGATCCCCTGTAGAGGGAGAGGCATTCTGATTTTGAGTATTCTCAGCCTTTTTAGGCTGGTTTCTTTCCATCATTGTAAATTTACTCGCCTGTTGTCTTTGTAATTACCGACTTTCTAATTAGGTCTCTGAGTGGATGTCCAAGTTGTTGATTCCCAGCACCGGAATCTGAGCAACCCACTGTGCCGGCTAAAACAGTGGCATTAAGATTGATGGTGCTTTTCTGCCCGGGAATCTCCGGTCTGGCTTCCTTCTTGAGTCCCTCTTTCAATCAGCTGAATAGGCAACTCTGCCTTCCCGGAGCTCCAAATGTTGACCAAAAGGGGACCCAGTCTTGTTTACTCTGTACCAAGAACCGCCGCACCGAGGTGCCAGCAAAACCGCCGCAATGGCCGCAAGAGTCGCGCTGGTGACCCGTGAGGCTCCTCCGCTGGGAATCTCCTGGTCCATGAGTAACAAAAATTCGTCTGAAAGTATGGCGTCCTCTCGTTCTCTGTGCTTTCACTGGGAGTTGCGATCCCAAGCTGCTAGTGATCAGCAATCTTAGATCTCTTTTCTGTTCTTTTCTTTTTTTCTTTTTAATTTTTTTGAGACAGAGTCTTGCTCTGTCATCCGGCTGGAATGCAGTGACACAATCTCAGCTCACTGCAACCTCCAGCTCCCAGGTTCAAGTGATTCTCCTGTCTCAGCCTCCCCAGTAGCTGAGATTACAGGTGTTGGCCACCACGCCTGGCTACTTTTTTTTTCTTTGATGGAGTTTCACTCTTGTTGCCTAGGCTGTAGTGCAATGGCACAATCTCGGCTCACTGCAACCTCTGCCTCCCAGTTTCAAGCAATTCTCTTGCCTCAGCCTCCCAGGTACCTGGGATTACAGGCATGTGCCACCATGCCCAGCTAATTTTTGTATTTTTAATAGAGATGGGGTTTCACCATGTTTGTCAGGCTAGTCTCGAACTCCTGACCTCAGATGATCCACCTGCTTTGGCCTCCCACCAAGTGCTGGGATTCCAGGCATGAGCCACTGTGCCCAGCCCTAATTTTTGTATTTTTAGTAGAGTTTCACCAAATTGGCCAGGCTGTCTTTAACTCCTGACCTCAAGTGATCCACCAGCCTTGGCCTCCCAAAGTACTGGGATTACAGGTGTGAGCCATCACGTCCAACCTATATTTGGGTTTTTCTGACTCATGATCAGGCAGAAGGAGGACAATGGAAACCTGTCTTATTAAAGAGATGCTTATATGGGGCATGACCCTATGGAAATTGGATGAGAACTCCCAGGTTTGAAGGGGAATTGGAATCATAACTTGGCAAGCATTTCAATCACTTGCTAAGAGTCTGCTATAGTAGACTATCTGCTAAAGCAAGTCTTGTCAGCATTTTAATCACTTGCTAAGAGTCTACCATAGTTGGGGCAGTCTGCTAGTTGCTGTGAATACATCTAACTGGGGTGGGGTGGAGAACAAGTGCACAATAAAATAAGAAGAAAGAGTGCTGTATAGGAAATGACTGAATTAATGGTATAGAAAGGTGTGGAGAAGGCTGGGAGCAGTGGCTTACGCCTGTAATCCCAGCACTTTGGGAGGCCAAGGCGGGCAGATCATGAGGTCAAGAGATCAAAACCATCCTGGCCAACATGGTGAAACTCCATCTCTACTAAAAAATACAAAAATTAGCTGGGCATTGTGGCACGCACCTGTAGTCCCAGCTACTCAGGAGACTGAGGCAGGAGAATTGCTTGAACCTGGGAGGCGGAGGTTGTAGGGAGCCGAAATCGCGCCACTGCACTCCAGCCTGGTGCCTGGAAACAGAGCAAGACTCTGTCTCAAAAAAAAAAAAAAAAAGAAAGGTGTGAAGAAAAGGAAGACTTTGCAGAAGAGGTAGGACATGAGTTGTGCCTTAAAGCAAAGGAGAAGTCATATAAACAGAAAGCCAACTCAGTTAAAGAGCAAATAACCTAGTTTTGCCATACATAGAATTTGTATGTCAGAGTTTGGCAATGCCTAGATATGAAAATTGAACCTAAGGGATTTGGACTTTCCACTGTTGAATGTGAAATGATCCACTGTACTCCTGGCATCCATTACATTTCTTTCCTTAGGTCCATATGTCTCACCCCATTCCCTACTATAACAGTATTCATCCCTTAGTATCTGCAGGGGATTGGTCCCAGGACTCTCTCCCTCTAAGCCCCTGATATAAAATGGAATAGTATTTGCATATAACTTATGAACATTCTCACCTATATTTTAAATCAACTCCACATTATTTATATAATGTTACATTACTATTTTACAAAGCACTTACATTATATTAGTAATGTATTGATGTATTGAACTAATACAATGTGTTACGTAAAATACTGTTACACTGTATTGCTTTTTACATTTGTATTTTTTAAATTGTTGTATTGTTACTTTTAATTTTTTTTTCTGAATATTTTCAATCCACGGTTGCTTGAGTCTGAGGATGTGAAGCCTGCATATATGGAAGGTCAACTGTAATTTTTTTTTTAAAGGAAAGATTATTATTATTATTATTATTATTATTTCAAACAGAGTCTTGCTCTGTTGCCCAGGCTGGACTGCAGTGACATGATCATGGTTCACTGCAGCCTCGATCTCCTGGGCTCAGGTGATCCTCTGACTTTAGCCTCCTGAGTAGCTGGCACCACACACAGGTGCATGTTATAGCACCTGGCTAATTTTTTATTTTTTGTAGAGATAAGGTCTTGCTATATTGCTCAGGCTGGTCTTGAATTCCCAAGCTCAAGCAATCCTCCCACCTCAGCCTCCAAAGTGCTGGCATTACAGGTGTGAGCCACTGCGCTCAGCATATTTCTAATGTTAGACAATTAATTCAGTTAGCAGCAGTAGGTGAAAAAGAATAAAGACAAGACATTTTTGAAGGCAATGAAATAATCATAACTTAAGGATAAACTATCCCATCTAAAAACAACCTGGCCAACAGGGTGAAACCTTGTCTCTACTAAAAATACAAAAATTAGCCAGGTGTGGTGGCAGGCACCTATAATCCCAGCTACCTGGGAGGCTGAGGCAGGAGAATCGCTTGAACCCAGGAGAGAGAGGTTGCAGTGAGCCAAGAATGCACTGCTGCACTCCAGCCTGAGCAACAGAGTGAGACGCCGTCTCAAAAAATAAATAATAAATAAATACAGACAGTAATGGCCTCTAGGGCAGTGGGTGGGTCTCAACCCTGGCTGCACATTATAATCATCTGGGGAACTTAAAAAATAATGCCTGTGCCTGGGCCTCATGCCCAGAAATTATTACTTTGAACCATATAAAATTATAGATATTTGCCTGTTTTTAACATATAATAAGTGAGAATTTCATTATCCCATCAAATAATTACTGGTGGATGAAAGCTGGTGCATTAAAAAAAAAAAATCTTCTCCAGGTGATCCTCATGTGCAGTCAGGGTTCAGAACCACTGCTGCAGATGGAGGCCAAGGAGGAGCTCAAAATTTCTCTCCCTCCTTTTCTCCTTCCCCCCATCCCAGTGATGGCAGCCCTCTACCTTTGAAGAAAGCTAACCGGAGAAAACTCAGGTTTAAGGATATTTTAGCTAGGCACAGCGGTTCATGACAGTAATCCCAGCACTTTGGGAGGCTGAAGCAGGCATATCACTTGAGGTCAGGAGTTCAAGAACAGTCTGGCCAACATGGCAAACCCTGTCTCCACTCAAAATACAAAAATTAGCTGGGTGTGGTTGCACATGCCTGTAATCCCAGCTACTTGGGAGACTGAGGCAGCAGAATCACCTGAACCCGGGAAGCAGAGGTTGTGGTAAGCTGAGATTGTGCCATTGCACTCCAGCCTGGGCAACAAGAGTGAAACTCCATCTCAAAAAAAAAAACAAAAGCAGTAGTTCAAATCCACCATGATTACACAGAGACAGAAAAAAATACAAATCACACATTTTACGCTTTTTCATAATCATTGAGAGAATTAAGGTGAACTAAGGAGTCCAGATACCTGCAGACACACTGAGCCAAACCAAAAAATGACCTGGTTCTCACCTCCAGCTGCCGAATTGCTGTTTCTCTTTCTTTAATAAGTTCCAAATCCTGCTCAGTGATGGCCACCTCATCCTCCTGGCTCTGCATCTGGTTCCACTCCTCATGGCTGCAGGGAGACAAGCACTTTAGGTGATTTCTCCTCTCTAAGGCATAACAAGACATATCTCCAACATCTCTACTGCTAGCAGAACCTATGCAAAGCCATTTTCAGGGTTCCACTCTTCTATTATCAATACAAAGCCCTGGAGGGCCACATTCGTCATATCCAGAATCAAAGAGCTGATGATACCAGGAAAACAAAGACTCAGCTTCCATGGGCAAAGTGGACATGTAGCAGAATTATGAGGGATGGGACTCCTGGCTGTTTCTATTTAGGGGTATACTCTGTAATCTCGCTGGGGTTTGCCAGACAAGGAAAGTAGCCAGAGATCTGAACTCAATGAATTATATTGACCTATCATCTTACAGGGCACTCTCAAAGTGCAAGCTGCATTGGCACCTTTAGTACTAAGTGGATGGAGAAGAGCAAGCTAAGTGACCTATCAGTGTCTTGCCAATTAGTTCAACAGAATCACATCTCCTGGTTTTCAGAAATTTCCTTGAGGTTATGCTTTGGGCTAAATACCTCTTAACAGGCCAGGTCCAGTGGCTCACGCCTGTAATCCTAGCACTTTGGGAGGCTAGGGCAGGAGGACTGTTTGAGGCCAGGAGTTCAGACCAACCTGGCTAACGCTAACACAGAAAAACCCTCGTCTCTATTAAAAAACAAAAAACGGGCCAGGCGCGGTGGCTCAAGCCTGTAATCCCAGCACTTTGGGAGGCCAAGGTGGGTGGATCACGAGGTCGAGAGATCGAGACCATCCTGGTCAACATGGTGAAACCCCGTCTCTACTAAAAATACAAAAAATTAGTTGGGCATGGTGGCGCGTGCCTGTAATCCCAGCTACTCAGGAGGCTAGGGCAGGAGAACTGCCTGAACCCAGGAGGCGGCGGTTTCGATGAGCGGAGATCGCGCCATTGTACTCCAGACTGGGTAACAAGAGCGAAACTCCATCGCAAAAAATAAAAAAGTAAAAAATAACAACCTACCAGGGTGCTGTGGCTCACGCCTGTAATCCTAGTACTTTGGGAGGCTGAGGTGGGTGGATCATCTGAGGTCAGGAGTTCAAGACCACCCTGGCCATCATGGTGAAACCCCATCTTTTTTTTTTTTGAGACGGAGTTTCGCTCTTGTTACCCAGGCTGGAGTGCAATGGCATGATCTCCTCGGCTCACCGCAACCTCCGCCTCCTGGGTTCAGGCAATTCTCCTGCCTCAGCCTCCTGAGTAGCTGGGATTACAGGCACGCGCCACCAGGCCCAGCTAATTTTTTGTATTTTTAGTAGAGACGGGGTTTCACCATGTTGACCAGGATGGTCTTGATCTCTTGACCTCGTGATCCACCCGCCTTGGCCTCCCAAAGTGCTGGGATTACAGCCGTGAAGCCACTGCGCCCGGCTGAAACCCCATCTTAAAAACAAACAACAACAACAACAAAAACCCCACAACCCATAAAAAACTCTCTTAGCAGAAAGCTAATGAAGCGTTATAACTATTTTCTTCTTTCTTTATACTTTTTTTGTAGACAGGGGTCTTGCTTTGTTGCCCAGGCTGGTCTCAAACTCCTGGCCTCAAGCAATTCTCCTGCCTCAAACTACCAAAGTGCTGTGAGTGGCTTGAGCCACCATGCATGGTTGCTTTTTTCTTTTTCTTTTTTTTTTTTTGAGACAGTCTCGCTCTGTCACTCAGGCTGGAGTGCAGTGGTGCGATCTTGGCTCACTGCAGCCTCCACCTCCTGGGTTCAAGTGATTCTCTTGCCTCAGCCTCCTGAGTAGCTGGGATTACAGGCATGCACCACCATGCTCAGCTAATTTTTGTACTTTAGTAGAGATGGGGTTTCACCATATTGGTTAGGTTGGTCTCGAAATCGTGATTCCTTGTGATTTGCCTGCCTCGGCCTCCCACAGTGCTGGGATTACAGGCATGAGCCACTGTGCCCGGCTTTTTTTTTTTTTTTTTTTTTGAGACAGAGTTTCACTCTTTCATCCAGGCTGAGTGAAGTGGTGCAATCTCAGCTCACTACAACCTCCACCCACCGGGTTCAAGTGATCCTTCTGCCTCAGCCTCTCCAGTAGCCGGGACTATAGGGTCTCGCCTCTATGCCCAGCTAATTTTTGTATTTTTAGTAGAGATGGGTTTTCACCATCTTGGCCATGCTGGTCTCCAACTCCTGACCTCAGGTGATCCACCCACCTCAGTCTCCCACAGTGCTAGGATTACAGGCTTGAGTCACCATGCCACACTGCCTTTTTTTTTTTCAAGCATTTAAAAGGAAGACATATTGCTTATTATGCTAGATATAAAACACTTTAAAATTCCATTATTGACTGGGCATGGTGGCTCATGCCTTTAATCTCAGCAATTTGGGAGGCTGAGACAGGCAGATCACGAGGTCAAGAGCTCGAGACCAGCCTGGCCAATATAGTAAAACCCTGTCTCTACTAAACATACAAAAATTAGCCAGGTGTGGTGGTGCATGCCTATAGTGGTCCAGCTACTCAGGAGGCTGAGACAGGAGAATTGCTTGAACTTGGGAGGCAGAGGTTGTAGTGAGCTGAGATCATGCCACTGAACTCCAGCCTGGGCAACAGAGTGAGACTCCATCTCAAAAAAAAGAAAAAAAAAGAAATCCCATTATTATGTGTTTTCCCAACAGTATCATAACTTCACTTCTACAATGTTTAAAGAATGTCCTCTATATGCCAGAGATACAAAACTAAGACAGAGTCCCCAGGCCTTTGAGGTGCTCATAGTATATGGGAAGGGATGGATGTGTATCTATGCTAAAACACATCAAGTTCTCAACTAATACCACCAATAAACTTCTATGGGACTAGTTTGGAAATGTTAAGAACATCATTCAGGGCTGGGCACTGTGGCTCACGCCTGTAATTCCAGCACTTTGGGAGGCTGAAGTGGGCAGATCACAAGGTCGGGAGATCAAGACCATCTTGGCAAACATGGTGAAACCCCATCTCTACTAAAAAAAATACAGAAAATTAGCTGGGCATGATGGTGGGCGCCTGTAGTCCTAGCTACTCAGAAGGCTGAGGCAGGAGAATCGCTTGAACCTGGGAGGTGCAGATTGCAGTGAGCTGATATCACGCCACTGCACTCTTGGTTGGGCAACAGTGAGACTTCATCTCAAAAAAAAAAAAAAACAAAAAAGGAACATCATTCAGATACAAATTGTCTGCTTTTCTTCTCAATACTCCTAGACAGCTGGGTTGCTTCCATTTTATAGATGAGTAAACAGAGACCCAAGAACTGTGAAGGGCTTTAATCTGAATTAGAGGTAAGATGACTTAGACCTCCTAATCTGTAGATGTGTGGGTTCATACTTATTCCTAGGGAGTCAAGCTCTCTGCTTAACACATAGACATCAATGGTTTCTTTGAATTTTTTATTCACCTTGAAATTATTCCTTCTATAACTCAAAGATCTCGAAAAAGCCCATGGTTTTGACTTTTTAATTTTATTCTGTGGATTATGTTATCCACCCCAGGTCCCCCTTTATTTTGCCCTCCATTTTTTTTCATTAATTTTTAAAATTAAAAGTATTAATGAGATAGATTCCCATCTCAATTATCCAGCAGGTTGTATGAATAATTCTATTACCTGTCAAATGAGACCAGCTGCTCCTCTCTTTGCCTCTCTTCTGCCTAGAAAATAGATGGCATTACTGCTGCTGTCATCCAGAAACATGTCACAGACAGATATACAAAACAAGGGCTTTCTTAGCACAATATAAAGAAGCAATATCCTTTGACACCAACAGAATCCGTAAGATGACACTGGACTCTGGCAATCTGTCTCAACTAAGAAATGGGTATAAAGTGGTATACCAGACTGTGGGTCTGGGTATAAAGTGGGTATAAAGTGGCTGAAGTAAATCTGCATTCCAGTTTGAGTCCAGAACAGAAACCATACTGAAAAGGGTGGAAAATAATACAGTAAGAGAGAGGGCTAAAAATGATAAATACATGATGCTACAAAAATCATGCATGGATAAAAGATCCAATCTAAGTATAACACAGACCAACAGATGTTAATGTAACAGAGGATGAAGTAATTATTATGGTTTTTGATTCTACAATGTAACTTTTGTCAAGTTTTGATGTAGTATCAAAGAAGAGTATCAACAACGATCTGAAAAGGTTATAAAAATATTCCTTTTCCAACTGTATATTTCTGCCAGCTTGGATTTTCTTCAGATACTTCAACCAGAACAACCTATCACAACAGACTGAATATAGCAGCAGATACAATCCCAGACGATAAAAGCTGAGAGTTCATCATCACTAGACCTGCCTCGCATGAAGTGCTAAAGGGAGTTCTTCAAGCTGAATTAAAAGCATGCTAATTAGTAAAATGAAAACATATGAAAGTATAAAATTCACCGGTAAAAGTAGGTACCTAGTCAAATTCAGAATATTCTAATACTGTAATGGTGGTATATAAATCATTTACATGTGGTGGTTAAAAAACAAAAGCAGCTATGAAAATCTAGCTGCCTTCTGGTAAGCCAGACACTTAAAAAATGCCTGTATTTGCAAAAATATGTCTGTATTTGCAAAAAAAGTCTGTGTATGTAAAAATATCACATGTATTTGCAAAAATGAAAATACTACTACTCTGCCCACTAATTTTTTTCTTGGAAACACAATTTTTTAAAATTAAAAATCTGGTTTAATTCCTTCTTTCCCTATGTGCATAAAAAAATCTAATTTATATTCATATTAATATGTAATGAGTATATTATTTATAAATGAATAAACAAACATCTAAAACTTTTCTCAGTTTTAATTTCTAATACAGTATACATTAATAGATATGGCTCATATAAACAAAACTTCTTTGGGGTCTGATATGGTTTGACTCTGTGTCCCCACCCAAAACTCACCTTAAATTGTAATAATCCCTACGTGTCAACAGCGAGATCAGATGGAGAAAACTGAATCACAGGGACAGTTTTCCCCACGCTGTTCTCGTGATAGTGTGAGTTCTCACAACATCTGATGGTTTTTATAAGGGGCTCCCCGCTTCGCTGGGCACTAATTCTCTCTCCTGCTGCCCTCTGAGAGGTGCCTTTCAACATGAATGTAAGTTTCTTGAAGCCTCCCCAGCCATGTGTAACTGTGAGTCAATGAAACCTCTTTTCTATATAAATTACGCAGTCTTGGGCAGTTTTTTTTTGTTTGTTTGTTTTGTTTTGTTTTTTTGAGACAGTCTCACTCTGTCGCCCAGGCTGGAGTGCAGTGGTGTGGTCTCAGCTCATTGCAACCTCCACCTCCCAGGTTCAATCAATTCTCCTGCCTCAGCCTCCCAAGTAGCTGAGATTATGGGTGCCTGCCACCATGCCCGGCTAATTTTTTGTATTTTCAGTAGAGACGGGGTTTCACCAAGTTGGCCAGGCTGGTCTTGAACTCCTGACCTCATGATCGCCTGCCTCGGCCTCCCAAAGCGCTGGGATTACAGAGGTGAGCCACCACGCCCGGCCTTGGGCAGTTCATTATAGCAGTGTGAGAACGGACTAATACAGGGTCCTTAGTAATTTTTTTTTTAAGATTCAAGAAGAGAAATTAATTTTTAAGAGTGTAATGGGGTCCTGAGATCAAAAAGTTTGACAACTTTTGTTCTATTCTATCTTTTTCATATTGATTCATGGGAATTCTTTATGCATTCTAAATGCTAGTTCTTTGCTATTAAACAAATATAGCAATGTCTTCTCCCTGTCTGTGACTTGTCTTTTCACATATACCACTTTTTTTGTTCTTCATTTTTTCTGCTTTTCAGACTTTCCATCTGAGATCACTTTCCTTTCACCTGAAATACATTCTTTAGAATTTCCTTCAGTAAGGTATGCTGATAGAAAACTCACTTCTGATTGAAAATGTCTTTAGCCCTCATTCTTGACATATATTTTCACTGAGTTTAGAATCCTAGGTAGACAGTTACTGTCCTTCATTAACATTCAAGATAGCACTCTACTTCTGGCTTCCACTGTTGTTGAGAAGTCAACTGCCAATATAACTATTTTATCTTTGAAGGTATTCTATTGTTTTTCCAGCTATCTTTATGACTCTTCTCTTTGTCTCTGTTCTGAAATTTGTCTTTGATGTATCTAGATTAGAGATTTCATTTATCCTGCCTGGGATCTGTTAGGTTTCTTGAAACTGTAGGCTGGTGTTTTTCATAAGTTCTGGAGATTAACAGTCATTATTTCTTCAAATATCACCTTTGTTCTATGTTTGCCCTATTCTCATTCTATAAATCCAGTTAAAACCACATTCGATCTTTTTACTCCATTCTCCAATTCTCATAATCTTTCTTCCATATTTAACCTCTTACCCCCATGCTACATGCTGGACAATATCTTCTAACCAATTTTCTAGTTAAACCACCCATCCACAAAAATTTTAAGTTTCCATATTATATCTTTTCATTTTAGAAATTCTTTTGACACCTTTTCACAGCTTTCTGTAGTTTCTTGCAGAAGCTTTCAACCTTTTATGTCTTTAAACACAATGAATATAGTTGTCTTATAATTCTAATGTACAAAGTCTTTGTAGGTATGTTTCACTTCACTACTGTTTCTACATAATAAGAATAATTGTTCTTTGTATACATGGTTATTATTAGTGAATGGTACTTACTGCCCTAGAAAAATTATTTGGGAGTATTATTTCAGCATTAGGACAAAGGTGTCTTTTTACAGAAGGAATTTGTGTTTGCTTCTACCCAGCACATAGGTGGCTTTACCAGTCCAGGACCACTAAACCATTCAGATAGGATGAATTTGAGCAGAAAATCTGTCTTAAGAAGGTTACTTTGTGGTACAAACTACTGTCTGGATTTCTCCTCCCTCCTGCCCTCCTCCATCTGCTCAGTTCAGTGCTAATGCAATCTTTTTGCAATCTGCTGGGGGAAAGGAGAGCTTACTTTTGACTTGATATTATAAGGATATAGTCATTTAGGGCCCAGTTTAATCTGAGTTGTACTTTCTTTTATATTCTCTACCTTGCATGGACCTTTGGCTTTGACTTTTATCCTCCTAATGTCATGAGGACATCAAAACTGAAGTTCAAGTTTGCCTTCAGTAAATATACTCAGTGCAAAAGCAGTTTCAGTGTTCTGCTTACCTCTCAGGCTTTACCTTAATATTTTCATAAATCGTTGATACTTTTGAGAAGTTGGATTTTTAAAATCCAGTATTTGATAATCCTTTTCAAAAACAGAGGGCTAGTCCAAATAAACTAGCCTGTTGTTATATTCCAGGAAAGAGATTCATTGTTTTTGATGTTAAGACCAATATTATCAAAATGAAAAAGAAAATTACACATAGTTCTTCCTCTTGTATCTTTTAACCCTCATTCAGATTCCTTTCTAGGCTTTGATCCCATGCATACATATTTTTTAGGTAGGTTATACCAACCTACCATTTTCACAGCAGCTAGCTTATATGTTTATTGGTCAAACAAAAAAAGAAAAAAAAAAAAGCCTACAAACTTGGGAAGGAACATTCTGAAACTGCAAAGGTTTTCTTTTGGGAATCAACTTACAGAAAGACGAGATCCAGCTCTTGCTCTGGCAATACTCTCCTTTTCCTTTTCGGATACCCTTCTCTGCACAGCTTGGAAATTGTTTAAGGCTGCAGAGAAGTCATTCATGAGGCGTTCCTTCTGAAGTCTCTGCTGGCGCTAAGGAAATTAAGCAACAACTTGAGATTTCATATTAACCCAGAATCACTTGGTTTTAATTTCCCTTAAAGGCAAAATTATACCCTTAAAGATTTCCAAATAGAAAAATGATTATGAAATAGTCTATTCTTTAAATTGATAAATTTACTCTTTGCTAGCTCAAATCCCTGGTTAATACTATAGACCAAGTCAAAATTTTTCTTCTTTCATTCTGACAAACCTGGGAACTGGGTTGCATTTAACCTTTTTTTTTTCTTCTTTTTTTTTGAGACGGAGTTTCTCTCTTGTTACCTAGGCTGGAGTGCAATGGCACAATCTCGGCTCACCGCAACCTCCGCCTCCGGGGTTCAAGCAATTCTCCTGCCTCAGCCTCCCAAGTAGCTGGGACTACAGGCACGCCATCATGCCCAGCTAATTTTTGTATTTTCAGCAGAGACAGGGTTTCACCATGTTGACCAGGATGGTCTCGATCTCTTGACCTCATGATCCACCCGCCTTGGCTTCCCAAAGTGCTGGGATTACAGACGTGAGCCACCACGCTCGGGCTTTTTTTTTCTTCTTTTTATTGAGATGGAGTCTTGCTCTGTTGCCCAGTCTGGAGTTCAGTGTCATGATCTCAGCTCACTGCCAACCTCTGCTGTCCAGGTTCAAGCAATTCTCATGCCTCAGCCTCTCAAGTAGCTGGGATTATAGGCGCCCACCACCAGGCCTGGCTAATTTTTAGTAGAGATGGGATTTTGAGCCGAGGCGGGTGGATCACGAGGTCAAGAGATCGAGACCATCCTGATCAACATGGTGAAACCCTGTCTCTACTAAAAATACAAAAAATTAGCTGGGCATGGTGGCACGTGCCTGTAATCCCAGCTACTCAGGAAGCTGAGGCAGGAGAATTGCCTGAACCCAGGAGGCGGAGGTTGCGGCGAGCCGAGATCACGCCATTGCACTCCAACCTGGGTAACAAGAGCGAAACTCCATCTCAAAAAAAAAGAGATGGGATTTTTTCATGTTAGCCAGACTATTCTCAAACTCTGGACCTCAGGTGATCTACTGCCTTGGCCTCCCAAAGTGCTGGGATTACAGGCATAAGCCATTGCACACACTTTGCATTTAACTTCTAAAATAATCTCCAAAGAACTACAATTCAGAATTTTGGTGCCCTGGAGAATCCAAAAGAGAATAAATACCTCTGGACTCCAATTGAACCCAAATAGAGATTGGTTTTGGCTAACACATTAAAACTCTATTCATCCATATTAAGTTCACAGCTTCCCTGAAAACTGTAGAATCATTTCACAGGCTATTTTTAGTGAGGTTTAAAATCTTTGAGACCTTGATAAGTACTTTGTTTATCTAAAGACATACCTCTACTAAGCTTGTTACCTATGTCTTAAAAAACACATGCTGAGGTTGGGCACACTGGCTTATGCCTGTAGTCCTAGCACTTTGGGAGGCTGAGACAGGAGGATCACTTGAGCCCAGGAGTTCGAGACCAGCCTAAATAACATGGCAAAACTCCATCTCTACAAAAAATACAAAAATCAGCCAGGTGTGGTGATGTACATCCGCTACTCAGGAGGCTGGGGCAGGAGGATCATTTGAGCCTAGAAGTCGAGGCTGCAGTGAGCTGAGATCGTGCCATGTACTACAGCCTGAGAAGAGTGAGACCCTGTCTCAAAAAACAAAACCAAACAAAACACACACACACACACCACATACTGAGAGCATTTGTCCTATTCCAAGAACACAGAAGTAAAAACTCACCCCGACCTCAAATCGCTTACCATCTATTTGTAAATAAAGGACACAGACAAGTAACAAAGTCATAATAAATAACTGCTACATCCAATTAGGACTATAGGAGTTCAGAGATAGGAACGATCAATAAGAACCCAAGTTGTCCAGAAAGGTGAACAGTGAAGTAAGAGGAAGGCATGAATAAGCAGAAAGAAGGGGTAAGGCAAATCCAAGCAAGAGAACAGTGTGAGCAAAGGCATGGTGGCAGAATTTGAAGAGGATCTCTAGGCAGATAGTTTGGCTGGAACTACAGGTTTAGTAATGAGAGTAGCTAAAAAGCAAAGTTGGAAAAGTAAGGAAGGGGTCAACCATAGCAGCTTTTAAATGTCAAGCTAGGCTGAGCGCAATAGCTCACACCTGTCATCCCAGCACTTTGGGAGGCCAAGGTGGGTGGATCACTTGAGGTCAGGAGTTTAAGAACATCCTGGCCAACGTGGTGAAACCCTATCTCTACTAAAAATACAAAAAATTAGCCAAACATGGTGGCAGGCACCTGTAATCCCAGCTACTTGGGAGGCTGAGGCAGGAGAAACGCTTGAACCAGGAGGTAGAGGTTGCAATGAATTGAGATTGTGCCACTGCACTCCAGCCTGGGCAACACAAGCAAAACTTGGTCTTAGAAAACAAAACAAAACAAAATGCCAAGGTAATGAGTCTGGGGTTCAACTTCTTCTTCTTTTTTTTTTTTTTTTTGAGATGGAGTTTCGCTCTTGTTACCCAGGCTGGAGTGCAATGGTGCAATCTCAGCTCACCGCAACCTCTGCCTCCTGGGTTCAAGCAATTCTCCTGCCTCAGCCTCCCGAGTAGCTGGGGCTACAAGTATGCACCACTATGCCCAGCTATTTTTGTATTTTTAGCAGAGACGGGGTTTCACCATGTTGACCAGGATGGTCTCAATCTCTTGACCTCGTGATCCACCTACCCAAAGTGCTGGGATTATAGGCGTGAGCCACCGCACCCAGCCTGGGGTTCAACTTCTAAAGAAAAAAGAGTAATGAAGATCTTTGGGCAGGAAATGTGATGGGTACAAAATAGTAATTTAGAAAAATTAGTCTGTGATGGTATAAAAAGTGGAATAGATACTTGTATTGGTGTCAGTCTTGGATAAGTAATTAAAAAAAAAAAAAGAAAAAAGTGGAATAGAAAAAAGAAACAAGTCAAACAGATTACCAATAGTCTAAATTTAAAGTTAGGAGGACACAGTATCAGTAATAAGATCACAAAGAAATAAATTTAAGAAACATTTTGACTGGTGGTAGGGAAAGAAAGATAAAGTCAAGAAGGACTGAAATTTCAAACCTAGGAGAATGATGGTTATATTAAAAGCAAATTTAGATGGGAACCTTTTTTCTCCTGAGATTTTTATTTGTGCATAAACAAAATTATAACAATAAGGGGGAGGACATCATTCCCTAACCTTACCATGCAAAAATATTATCATTTTTTAAAGTACATCACAAACATTTTTTATGTTACCAAGCTCTTCACAATTATGATCTCTCTCTTATTTTTTGAGACAGGGTCTTGCTCTGTCACCCAAGCTGGGGTGCAGTGGTGCGATCTCGGTTCACTGCAGCAATCCTCTCACCTCAGCTTCCTGAGTAGCTGGGACTACAGATGCGTGCCACCAAGCCTGACTAATTTTTGTAGAGATGTTGCCCAGGCTGCGTCTCAAACTCCTGTACTCAAGCAGTCCACCCACCTTAGCCTCCCAAAGTGCTGGGATTACAGGTGTGCACCACTGCGCCCAGCCATGATCTTTAACCGTTACATATATTCCATCAAGTTCACCTAAATTTTACGCTAATATTCCTTCTAGATTTTTCCCAGTTATTAAATATTATAAAGTTAAAGTGAGCCCAATGTAAAAGCTAATATTTATATAGTGTTTACATTGTACCAGTTCTACTGTAAGTGCTTTATATAATAATTCATTTACCTATACAATGACCTACAAATTAGGCATTATTACTGTCCCAACTTTACATGTCAGAGAACCAAAGTACCACAGAGGTAATGTAATTTGCCCAGGATCACACAGTAAGTGACAAAGATGGATTTAAATTCAAGAAATTTGGCTCCAAAGTATGTGTGTGTGTGTGTGTGTGTGTGTGTGTATAGAGAGAGAGTGTGTGTGTGTGTGTGTGTGAGTATGTTTACCTTCAGAATTATTTTTTCCCCCTTAGAACTAATTTGCATCAAAGAGAATATCAGGTCAAAAGGCACAAACTTTTCTGTAATGGTAAATATTGTCAATAAACTTAGTTAAGGGGTTTGGGTAAAACATGAAAAACTCAGTATAAGACAAGTTTTATGTGAAAGTGGTTTATTTCAGGAGGAGATGTCAGAACATGAATTGAAGATATGGGCCAAGTACTTAGAGGTGTAGGGGTTATGTTGGAAAAAGATCTGGAGGTCATGATTATAAAGGTGAAAGTGAGGTCATAAAAGCAGGTGACTCCTGAGGGAGAAAGCATACAGTGAAAGAATTTGAGGATCAATGTCACAACCTTGGGGCATGCCCACTCTTAAGAGGATATGGAGTCTAGGAAGGAGGCTGAGACTCAACCTGGGGATCTCCAGAGTTGGGGGAGAGAATGAAAGAGAATCATGGCAAGAAAAGAGTTTCAGTGCAGACAGGATAGCCAAGAGGAAACAGAAAAAAAAAGTGAATACACCCAGCATCGTGGCTCACGCCTGTAATCCCAGAACTTTGGGAGGCCGAGGCAGGCGGATCACTTGAGGTCAGAAGTTCACGACCAAGCTGGCCAACATGGTGAAACGCTGTCTCCATTAATACAAAAATTCATGTGGTGATGTGTGCCTGTAGTCCCTGCTACTTGGGAGTCTGAGGCAGGAGAATCACTTGAACCCGGTAGGCAAAGGTTGCAGTAAGCCAAGATTGCACCACTGCACTCCAGCCTCAGTGACAGAGTGAAACAGTGTCTCCAAAAAAAAAAAAAAAAAGTAAATAAAAACTTTTTACAAAGGGCCAGGTGTGATAGTTCATGCCTGTAATTCCAAGCACTTTGGGAGGCTGAGGAGGGAAGATTGCTTGAGCCCAGGAGTTTGAGCAGCCTGAGAAACACAGCAAGACTCTGCCTCTATAAAAAATTTAAAAGTACCTGGGTGTGTTGGCACATGCCTGTGGTCCCAGCTACTTGGGAAGCTAAGGTGAGAGGATCACTTGAGCCTGGGAGGTTGAG